AAGCAATAAGTTTATGACCTGAAGAGGTCAAAAAAAAAAAAAAAAAAAAAAAAAAACTAATCTAAAGCTATTAATCAGATGTTTCTCTGCTCTTGCAGAGGGCTTGACTACCACTTTGCTGAGAGGCTGTTTGCAGATACCCCCTTCTCAAGCAGATGGTCCAGGTGTCAGCTAAGGGGTCCTGATTTCTCTACTAACATAGACACAGCATAGCCAGTCTATGGTGCCTGTAGTCTAACCTCTCCTTTGCTTTTTTCCCTCTAGATAATCAACCTCAGACAGATCCAGGAGGTATTCAACCAGTTCCGTGTGGTTCTGAGGTGAGGGTCCCTTTCCCCTACACCTCACTCAAACGTCAGGCTGCCATTTTCTTTTCTTTCTTATTTTTTTTTTAGAGACAGAGTCTCACTTTGTCACCCTCAGGAGAGTGCCATGGCATCACAGCTCACAGCAACCTCCAACTCCTGGGCTTTGGCGATTCTTTTCCCTCAGCCTCCTGAGTAGCTGGGACTACAGGTGCCCACCACAATACCCAGCTATTTTTTGTTGCAGTTTGGCCACGGCTGGGTTCGAACCGTCACCCTCGGTATATGGGGCTGGTGCCCTACCCACTGAGCCACAGGCGCCACCCCAGGCTGCCATTTTCATTTCCCATGATCTAGGCACTTTTCTCCAGAAGTACCCCTTTCTGTCTTGTGGCAGGTCTTTATGGAGTGCCAGATCTGAGTGTGCCCAGAGCAAGACAGTGTGAATATTCCCTACCCGCTCTACCTTAGGAGGTATTTGTGGCTTATTCAGGTGTAGACATCCCCGTAGCCTGAGTGGCTTTTGCTGGGGCATATCACAGAAACTGATCACATGATTCAAAGAGGCCTGCTAGAGACAGAACCTTGGTGGGTGAGTATGGTCCCAAATTAGGCTTACAATCCTTGTTAAATGTCATCTTGGAGCAGACACATCTGGCACAGAAGGGTAGCCACTACAAATTTTGAGGCTGGATGATGAGTTGGTGCACTAGAGGAGGGGGAATGAGCCCTTTGTCTGTTTAATCTGGTTCATGATGAGGGCATGGCTCCATCGTGAAACTAAGTCCTCACCTAAAGGACTTAGTTTTTACCCCAGTGAGTTGAACTCAGCCCTGGGTATAAGGTGTTCTTTCTCTCTCCCAAGCCAACAGGAACAGGAAGTGGAGCTGGCTTTGCGTAGGAAATACACCCTCATAGACAAGAATGACTTTGCAACCATTTCTGCTGTCCAGAAGGTAAGCATGGTTGCCTCTCTTTGACAATACTCACTTCAGATTTTCCATCCACAGATCTTTGCAAAGGCTGTAAGTGACATGTATTAAACCAGAGCTAGGATTGTAAAAGATAAAGATTAATACCAAGATGAGCACAGGTATTCATGGGGTAACTTGTGTAACAGTATACCACTTTTGAATTGAAAATGATTTCTATCAATTGGAGACATGGTTAATAATAAGCAAGACTGGCTCAGCACCCGTAGCACAGTGGTTACCGTGCCAGTCACGTGCATTGAGGTTGGTGTTTTTGAGCCTGGCCCAGACCAGCTAAACAACAGTGACAACTGCAACAAGAAAATAGCCGGGCATTGTGGCAGGTGCCTGTAGTCCCAGCTACTTGGAGGGCTGAGGCAAGAGAATCGCTTAAGCCCAAGAATTGGAGGTTGCTGCTTTCTGTGATGCCCCAGCACTCTACTGAGGGTAACATAGTAAGATTCTGTCTCAAAAAAAAAAAAAACAAAAAAACCCCCACAAAAAATAATAATAAGCAACACCAATTCCTGGAGTTAGGTTGGAAACAAACCCTTAGATCCCCAGAATATGGAATGAAGCACCAGCCTTGTGAGGTGGGTTGATATGGAAAGTAGACATTTGGTAGGGTGGTCAGGGACAGCTCTGTTGGGGACAGCCTGAAGCTGGCATTTATAGCAGCTAAACCTTAGTACATGGACTAAGTATGCCCACCTAGAGCCTTGGGCCATATACACTTGTGTCCTTGAGGGGCCCCAATCCTTACTCTAACTCATGAACCTTTGGCTGGTCTCTCTATCTAGGCGGGGATTATGGATGTTGATGGCCACCTAGTGGGCGAGCCCGATGGACAAGGGTTTGGAGTGGGGATTGCTCCTTCCTCTTCCAAACAGGGGAAGAAGCCTAAGTCCAGGAAAACATTCAAAGAGCAGGTCAGGTGAGTGACTTTGGCTGCTCTGCCTCCTTCTGTGGTAGATGAATGGGAGGGCGTGATCTGCTCCCACCTCCACCCTTGTCTCTCAGCTAAAATGGACATCACTGGTGCCAATACTAGCAAATCTGTGGGTCCCAGGCTAGAGCTAGTTTGGAACCAGCCACGATACCTCTCACCCTACAGCAACTTTGTGAGGTGGGAGTTAATGTCTTCATTATACTGATGAGAAAACTGAGGCTCACTTCCCAAGATCACGCCACTAATGAGTAGTAGAGTTGCAGCAAGAAGCCTGACCAGCACTCAGAGTTTATGTTTTCTGGTACTTCTTTGTACCCTTCCCTCCACTTTAACAGGGTCCTTCTGCTGACTGGCACTCAGGTCACCTATAAACCTAATTCCCTTTCTGGCCAGACTCATTTGCATGTGCAAGGTGGGAAGAATATTTACATTTACTTGATGAGCCCACCCTCCTCAGGAGGCACTGTTGTATAGCAGTGGCCAAGAGCACAGGCTTTAGAGTTAATGCCTGGGCTCTTCTCCCTTCTCTGTGCTTCTTCTTTCTTTCTTTCTTTTTTTTTTTGAGACAGAGTCTCACTTTGTGGCCCTTCATAGAATGCCATGGTGTCACAGCTCACAGCAACCTCCAGCTCTTGGGCTTAGGCGATTCTCTTGCCTCAGCCTCCTGAGTAGCTAGGACTATAGGCATCCACCACAATGCCTGGCTATTTTTTGTTGCAGTTTGGTTGGGGCCGGCTGTGAACCCACCACCCTTGGTATATGGGGCCGGCGCCCTACTCACTGAGCCACAGGTGCTGCCCGTAATCTTCATTTTAGTTTGTCTGATATTAACTTAGCTCTACCAGCATCAAAGACATCAGTGTTATCATGAGGCTAAGTGAGTGAACACAGTTGCTACACATAAATCAAAGCTGATTATAGAAGCTAAGTGCCTGTAGCTCAGTGGTTAGGGCGCTGGTGGGTTTGAACCTGGCCTGGGCCTGCTAAATAACAATGACAACAACAAAAAAATAGCTGGTCACTGTGGTGGCACCTGTAGTCCCAGCTACTTGGGAGGCTGAGGCAAGAGAATCACTTAAGCCTGAGCGTTGGAGGTTACTGTGAGCTGTGATACCATGGCATTCTACCAAAGGTGACATAGTGAGACTGTGTCTCAAAAAAAAAGAAAAAAAAAAGCTGATTGTAGAAAACTATCGCACGTAGGACAGGAGTCCGGTAGCAGCAAGAAGAAAAGAAGAGGGAATGGTGGGAAGAACTTTGGATGTCTTCCTTCAGTTCAGTCCTGTTCAGATGTGTCTCTCCTGAAGGAAAGATAACACTGGGCACTGTCACCTGAAGAGAGAGGATGACTACTTTTCTAGGAGCTGGTGTAGGCCCTGATGTATGGCAAGAACAGAGTGTGCACTGGTCAGAGCAGTAGGGCAGACTCCCACCTGGGTGGGGGCTCTATCAGTTCTTCCCAGGGATGCCTGTGTGTCTCATACCTCAACAGCTATAATGGATCCATACACTTTCAAGCCATGGAGACTATACCCATTCTTCCTGGGTGTTCCTTGCTGAGACTGCTGAGAGCACCTTGTTCTGAAAAAAGGAGAGGGGGGAAAGTGCTCTCCTCTCTCTCCCTATCTGTGTGGCTTAGGGTCAAAGTCTTTGCCCTTTGGCCTAGGTATATTAACAAGGTAGGGGGTGGGGGTAGAAGACCTGGTACAGTGAGGGCTGGGAAAGGTCACTTACCTCAGCATCTGAGATACCTCTCTGCCCATTCATGACTGAGCCCTGGGGCTCCCTGCCTTCTCCTTCCAGCTCCTTTGCAAGAAAGGAAGGTGCTGGCAGCCCTATGAGTGGCAAGGACCTGGAAGTAGTTTCCACTTCTAAGACCCAGTTGGTCCCACCCTCCAAGGATGCAGATGTCAAAGAAGTGCTTCTGCGGGACCGGGAAACCTCCAGCATTGAGCCCCTTCCTTCAGACTCTCCAAAAGAAGAATCTCGCCCACCTAGGTAACCATCTAATGTTAATTCCTGCACCACATCAAACAAAAATGTGTGATCCTGAACATGTAAAGAGTGTCTGCAGATAGAAGAGAAATAAAACAGGGGAAAATGAACAAAGACTAGGAACATGGTCCCAAAAAGAAGAAGCATGACGTCTTTAACACATGCAAAATGAACCAACCTTAGAAGTCATCCACAAAGACACATAATTAAACATAGGATCATTTTAGACCCTCCAAATAGCAATTATTTAATTAAAGTTATATATCTTTTACATATGTAATACATTAAAAAGCTACAAAACTCTCAAGATATGAATGAATTTAACTCCTTTCCTTTCTTCCAGTCACCTAGCTCCCCTCCCCATTGAGTCATTAATTGAGTTTTTAGGCATCTATTCTAAGGAAATAGAGATATTTATACAAAAATATATTCATTTAAAAAAAAAAAACATATTCATTGGCTGGGCATGGTGGCTTATGCCTGTAATCCTCGCCCTTTGGGAAGCTGAGGCTGATGAATTGCCCTGACTCAGAGGTTCGAGACCAGCCTGAGCAAAAGCGAGACCTCATCTCTACTAAAAATAGAAAAGCTGAGGCAAGAGAATCACTTAAGCCCAAGAGTTGGAGGGTTGTTGTGAGTTATGATGCCACAGCACTCTACCCAGGGCAACAGCTTGAGATTCTGTCTATAAATAAATAAATAAATAGCAGCAAACTTTTTTTTTTTTTTT